AAATTATTAAAAGAAAATAGCAACAACTAAGAAAATGAAATGGATTTCAAAACAAGGTGGTGGATATACTGATATCTCCCGATCTTCCACAAGATATGATGGTTCACCAGCAGTGGCAGCATCTTGCCCAGAGAGATCTACTTGCATAGTTACAACAGATTGTACATTAAAACTACAACGAGAGATTTTTCACACTGAGCTACAAATGTAATCTCAGCTTTAGGGGGGGAATGGGAGTCGTCTTTGCTGCTCATCAACATTGTCCAAACAGCTGACTATGAAGACTGCCCACCTGTCTGAGGGTAGGATCCAGGTCCTTTGGACTACTGGAATTAAGGAGCAAAGAAAACCAAATTCCTCCTCCCTATATATCAGGTAATTTGAACTCACTGTCTCTAAGCAGACAGGTTCTTTCGGTATGGCCAATAACAGAGGTGACTAAAGTAGCAGCCATGATCTTAGCTATTGCTTCATACAGAGCACTGTGATTCCCTGTAATCCCTCCTCTGAGATTCCCATGAGTCTGGCTTCGGAGCTGGGCGAGCTGTGAGAGACGTCCAGGGAGACAGAACTAAAAAGCATTCACCCGAGTAACTCCTGCTTTACAGCAAAAGCTAAGGTTAGCTCCCACTGAAAAGTAATGAGCTTTTGGTTGCCAAAGCTGCGGTGCCTCAGAGGATATAGACTTTTAGAAATAATTTACCTTGAAAATGAGGCATTTCAGAGCTGTTCCAAATTGGAAGCCAGAAGTAACCAGGAGTTTTGAAAGTCTGTTTATGGTTTCCAAGCAGTGCACTCCAGCTCCCAGCCCATCTGTCTTCTGCCCTTAGGAGTACCACAGCTAAATACAGTCTGGGGGGAAAGATGACTGGGGAACCAGAGCATCAGACTGATGGCAGGCAGCCTACTAAAATTGCAAGCAGTTGTGCCCTGAAAGTGGGGCTGGGTCTTGAAACACGCTCACAGAAATGAAAAACGCTCTGTCACTGAGATGACCTCTATCCTGAGAAAAAAGTGATTAAAATTATAAGACTTTACCCTTCATTGCAGAAATTGTTGCAATGACATACAAAGCCGTGGAATGGAGTTCATCTGCATCTACTGGGACCAAGGGTCACCCGAGACTGTAAGAGGCAAGTGAGATCCAATATGAATGCAACTGAGGGGGGGGGGGGGGGGTTCAGCGCCCCGGCGTTGGGCTTAGTGGAATGATATATGTGGCTTTAATCTGTTTATCTTAAAGAGATATTATTACTCCATTCATGGGTGTCTGAAGCCAACGCCATGCTTTAAGTATAATAACACAGCACTCTGCATGTATAAATCATTAATGAATACTTGCAATGTGACAGTTGATCCAAGGAGGACGCAGAGCTTCCTGATAAGAGTTCTTGCCCTAGGGATCCCTCCAACACACCTCATAATGTAGGATGGATTTACAGAGAAAAATTTTTACCGCTCTATTAGAGAAGCAAACAAGTAGCAGGTAAACATCTACAGACAGGAAATCTGTAGGGAAGGGCAGATCTCGGGGTACGTGAGACTTTCCCTGACTAGCTCGTCCTGTGGGCTGACTGCTACGGTTTTTGACACAACAACCCAAAGACAAGTTAAGTGGGGATTAAAAAAGTCTTTGTCATCCTTCATGGGTGCAGCTTTTCACCCTGTTTCCTATTGGCAGACCATTTAATCAGCATTGATGCCCAAATAAGTGTTCCACGCACCCATCAAAGCTTAAGTGCAGAATGACACTTTATCTATCAGCAAGGGTTGGCATGCCCAGAAATGTCCTTTTCTAAAGACTAAGAAGCCATATCTCGATTTCTGCCTGGACAGCACATTGAAATCGAAGTAATAACACTCTACCAGGCTTTTCAGTGCAATAAAGCGTCGTGGCAAGTCTCAGACCCTTCTGGCCTAGCTTGCAGGGGCCCTCTTACAGTGAGGTCCCTGGATGTGGTTTTTGCTGTGAATCTGGAGCAGAGGTACAGCTCTAGCTCTGCAGGTAGGCAACTTAGTCTGCTCCTAGTAAAGCTGAGGAAATGATTTTTTACTGAGAAGGACATGCTGTGAGAGACAAAAGGAGAGAAGCAAGAACTTCAGATTTGTATAAAACACATTTGTGTGGTAACAGCACAGAGCTCGTGGCAGCAGGCGGATGCTTGAGAAAGTAGGTGGTTTGTGCTGGTGATTTCCAAAAAACCCATGCTCTAACCTTCTTTTGCTGCCCAGTGCAGCTGCGTTTTATGGTCATAAGGATTTAGAGTAGCTGCAGATCTGCTCCAGATGTTTTAGAAAAGGTTATTACAACATACACAAACCTACCTTTTAATGAAAAAATTAATAACCGTGGTTTCTGAAGCTATTAAATATTGCCTGCTTAGGGAGTAATCGTGACTCTCAAATTTAAAGTGACGTTATTATTGAAGTGACAAAACTATTTAGATTTTGTCATATACTTGCAATATTTACATGGCATGTACACTCCTTATGTCTCAACCATTAATGAATATTTGGGGCTAACTTTGAAGTTCTTTTCTTTAAAGAAGCCAAAGGAGCAGCCTCAATATTGTTATGCAGCCCTAGGGATCTGCAGACAGACACACCTTAGTGGCTTCCAAATGTGTAATGGAGGTAAAGTCTGATATTGATAGGTAGAAAACTCTAAGTGAAATACACTTTTTTGAATAAAAGAATATTTTATAAAAACTTTTGCGTTAATCCTGGAATTGATCACTTGTTCCACCTCAATGATTACTACAGGATGCATTCCCAATGAATTTGGTTCTTCTCTGTATTCTATTCTTAAAATAATAAAAAGAAAATCACAGATCTGGGTGTGATGTTTGTAGGAACTCTGCTGGGTGGGTAATTTTATCCCTTCACAGTCAGTTTAATTCTTGTTTTGCTGTAGTGTTGATGTATTAGGCTCTGATTTAATGAATGAAATTAAAGATTTGTCTCTTCAGAAATATTTCATGCAATGGTGTAAAAATTTAAGCTTCAGTCTTTCCTTGTTTTTCTTCATCTGGTTAGCCAAAACTACCAACTCAAATGATTTGAATGTAATACAAATGATTATTTCCTACATGACCTGAATGAAGCATTTGGTTTTCTGTCTTTGGGTATGGTAATAAATCAACTGAAAGTATGTGTCCAAGCAATTGCATGGATGCCATCTTCTCATGTATTCTCAATTGCTTTAATTTCTTTCCTACAAGAGAGTTGTCTGAATACCGTAAGTGGATGTTCCGGATACCAATTTGTTATGTCAACACACAAAACCTTAGCATATTACACCCCTAATTAGACCAGGGAAACAACTTGTCCAGTAGCCCATATCCACCACAGGATTCTGAACAGTATGTTTCCACTGAGAAATGCTTTGTAAACCAGTTCTGGTTTGCTTTAAAAACCCTGCTGATTTGCCGTGCTAAATTCCTAAGTCAGCATCTCTCAACACCTGCAGCACTGTTTCCGTTGTGTTTCATTTCAAACATTTAACGGGATGTTGTTGTCTCTTGTACTATCACAGTCTGCACTGCTGTCAGTAGGCAGGGGATTCTGAGTCCTGTGGTGAGAAGTTTTTGCTGTGTGCTTCCTAGGTGCCTGGACTGTCCAATGTTGCACAATGGATTTTAATTGATATCTTGAATGTGCAATTCAGCATCTGGCCGGGTGGAGACAGTCGACCTGTCTAATTCATTGTCCTTGGACAGTTTGAACCCGAGTCCGTAAAGTCTGAAGATTTTCAGTCTCAGCTTGGTGAAATAATTCTCAGTCTGACTGATGTCAGGAAAGGGTTGTCCTGACAAGCAGTTACTCAATTTTCTGACTCAATGTAAAAACATAAGATAGCCTCCAAACAGACCTCAGATTACTATTGGAAGAAGGGAAGTAAAAAACACTCTTTGAGGCTTTACAGAAATTGTTCTGAGGGTCAAGTAGCAAATTAATTCTAAAAATGACTTGAAGTCTTAAGTTGGCTTGGAAGAACAGACTCTTTTAAACATTCTGATGGTACCATGCTGTGTGTTGGGAATTAAAAGCAGTGAGAGATTCTACTAAATTAGAAGATAGCAACACCATAAGCTAGAAAACATGATGTAGTTTCTGAAATAAAAAGGGTAATGTTGACTGACAAACTGAAAATTTGCTACCATGTAAGGTATGTAACCTAATTAGGCTTTTACCTAAAAAAAAATTGCACTCTCAATGCATGATTCACACTAGATATGTGGAGCAATCTTAAGAAACAGAGAAAAATGCCTGGATATATATTTGCGCAAAACATGCAAATATTCCAATTATGTAACTATTTGAGTCTCGCAGATTCTAATTTGTAAATGGCCCTGTGAAAGACAAGCCAGTGATTAAAATGACAGAGGGGGAAAAATGCATTGCTTTCCAAACAGTTCACCATATATGTCAAAATTGCATGACTCAACAGTGCTGGGCATGAAATTCATTTCATCTCTAATTATGTCACATAAAACCAGACTCTGTGGTGGAATGGGCATGCCATTAGCAAGGATGTTGGAAGGTAGCATTGCAAGTACCAAATCAAAGTAGTAGGGAGTGCTTTTCATGCAAGATTAGCTTGTTGGTAAACACATTCTGTGTGCAAAGGTTCTCCCTGGGCCTGGGGCTGTCTAGACCAGTATAAAAGCCGGATGAACTGCAGGCTCCCGCATCAGCTTCTCTTGCCTTCTCCTCCTTGGTCTACAAGGTGAGTGGCAAGTGCCATCATCTGTCTCTCTTTTTTGTTCTTCTTCTCTTTCTCTTCTGCCCTCAGTGTAGCTTCTGTTCCTTGCCACCACGGTGGGAGGTGGGAGAAGATCTTGGTCTTTCTTTGCAGGGCAAACCTGGGAACCAGGGCTCTATAATCTCCCTTCCTCCCTCTGCCGCCTATCCCTGCTCCCTAGCCTGTGCCTTTTCTCTTGCCGAGCAGGCGGTGAGGCTGCTCCTCACATGCTTTCTGTGCCCTCTCTCCCAGGTACACCTCCATCCCACAGCCATGTCCTGCTACGATCTGTGCCGTCCCTGTGGCCCAACCCCGCTTGCCAACAGCTGCAACGAGCCCTGCTTCAGGCAGTGCCAGGACTCCCGTGTGATTATTGAACCATCTCCCGTGGTGGTGACCCTGCCCGGACCCATCCTCAGCTCCTTCCCTCAGAACACCGCTGTGGGATCCACCACCTCCGCTGCTGTTGGCAGCATCCTGAGTGCTGAGGGAGTGCCCATCAACTCCGGGGGCTTTAACCTCTCTGGCCTTGGTGGCCGCTACTACGGCAGAAGGTGCCTGCCCTGCTAAAGCCTGTCTGGACATCGAGTGAGTGCATCGACCAGGAAGCCCCAAGCCATGTTCCTGCTGTCCTGTGTATTGGGTTGATCCTGAATCCAGCTGAGAGGGGCCCTGCTCATCAGCCTCTGCCCATGTGTGTGGGAGGAAGACACGTGTCCCATTGCTGTGAAGGGGTGCCTGTGTGTCAGCTGCCCCTGTAGCAGCCTGGGCTGGGTCCCTTCCACCATGCACTGCTTTGTTTCACTCTTCAGACTCATTAAAGTTTGTGCTGCATTGTATCTTGATGTCTCCTTGTGTTGCTTCCCTCCTGGGATGCCCAGCCAAGCTGCTGGAGGGGGAAAGGAGATGATGTGGAGTGGAAAAAGCTGGGTGGGTAAGGGCCAGTGATGGACCTGCCTGATGGCTGGAGGATCCGAGTACTCTCAAGGGCCACGGTCATGGGAAGACATACTTTCTTGGTGGTACTGTGTGTGGTGTTGTGTAATTACGGAAATGTTTACCAGGAGCTCCCCTAAGGGCCATGTTAGTAACAAGTGAAGTTGGTTCCTGACTTCCAGCTGTTGAGGCAAGCCATTGGCCTCCTGGAAGACATTTCTGTACAGGCTAACAACCACCTGGCCAAGGTTCTGATGACATGTCACAACTCGCAATGTCTCCTTGCCTTTCTCCAAGCCCTTCTTGCAAACTTTGGAACTGGACGGCGTTGCCAAGGAATTGAAGAGTCAGGTGATAGCCAGGGCAACTGTGTAAAGGGAGACGTGCACCCCGCTGTTCTAGATTTTGTCACAATAGGGCCTGGGTTGAACATGGGTGTGTAAAATGAGGAGGGGAGGGTGATGGACACAAAGGGCTCATCCTCCCTCATCTGCAAGTGGTGGGTACTATTGGTGATGCATCCTGGAATCTCTATAGAGGCCTAGAAGGGAGCAAAAGAAAGGCATCTTATC